CGAACTGCTCCAAAACCCTGGGCCAGAAACTGTTGTTCTGGCCCCAGAGACTTTATTATGGAAAAACCTGTTTCCGGATAATTTGAATATAAGAAGTTAAGTTTATAAAGAGTTAAATTTGTTAGAAAGATTGTAATATATATTAGTTAATTTGGGATATAAGTTTTGTTTTAAGTGAAGTTGTTTAATGAGAAGCTTTATAATTTTATAATTTTAAGATTTTATATTAACGGGTTGCGGGAACTGTTTTTTACAGGGTAACATTATTGTGTTGGGATTATGTTGTTTTGGGTGGAAATAGTCTCCGCCCTTAGAGAGAACATTGACCAAGCATGGAGTAGAATACTTAAACTTAAGCATCGTTTTAACATTACAAAAAATCCATGTAATTTGTTGTAAGTGATTTGTTTTGTAATGATTTTAACTTGCTCTGTAGCAGCAACTTGCAAAGATTATTTCCCTTGTAGAGAGAAATATAAGCTCGCAACTACTCGCAATAAAATGGCATCTGCATTCTCATAACAGGTATCCGGTCTCTCTCTCTCTTTCTCTCTTTCGTACAATAGCCTATGCCATCTCCACTTTTGGGGTACCTTGGACTTTGCGGGAGCTGGACTCCAGCATATATTGAAGTCAGCTAACTAGCAAATTTATTCCATCTGCAACCTTAACATAGCATATTTACAGGTTCCAGGGATTAAGGCATTGTCATACGGGGGAGTCATTTTTTAAAAAATATCACAGACACTAATCCACATGTTTTATAAGTTCACTTGAGAATCCTGCCTGATTCTGAAGTAGGATAAATAAAAATATAGCCACATCTAGGTACTTCTTTGTGAAAGTGTTAGATACCAAACAAAAAGGGAAGGTAGTATAGAATCTAAAAAGAGACAATAGGTTACCTTAAAGGAGTGAGAAACAGCAATTAACTTACCAACAACACAAATGGAATTAGAAGACAATAAAATATCTTCCATGTGCCAAGAGAAAATAACTGTCAATTTAGATTCGATACCCTGAAAATGTGTCTTTCATATTTACAGAAAGATATTTCTGTAAATATATTTACAGAAAAAATAAAACTAAAAATTTGCAACTAAAAATCTCATTAAAAGACATTTAAAAAATTCTACTTCAATCAGAAGGGAGGTGACCCCAGATGGAATCCGAAATACAAGAAGGAATGAAAAATGCACATTTTTGGTAGATAGGTTGGGAAATACACTGATTGTATCTTTAAACCTTAATAATAATGTCTTGTGGGGTTGAGCATAACTTAAAGTACGTAAGAATAACGTACGTGTGTGTGTGTGTGTGTGTGTGTGTGTGTGTGTGTGTTTGTGTGTTTGAAAATTGGATACCATAACGTTTGTTCCTCCAGAGGAATTAGTTAATAAATAGATTTAACATAACAAAAATTTTAAATTTTATTTTAATTTTACCTAAAATTTCAAGGTAGGAAAAATAATTAAAATAATTTTAGAGGTCTATTTATACACAAACCAAAATAAACCATCTCAAAATATGTTCATGACTGGTGTTTATTGCTTTGGGAAAATTATGAATACCTTGCCAGGTGTCCTGGAAATGAGAATTTCAGTGAAAAATAAACATATTCTTGTGGTACATATACACAATGGGATATTATGCAGTCATAAAGAAGGAAAGATATATGGACTTAGCAGCAACTTGAATGGATTTGGAGTCGATCATACTCAGTGATTTATCACAGAAACAAAGAAATGAGTTCCATATGTTCTTACTCATAAGATGACCTTGAACAATTATAATGCTATAAGAAAGCGATTGGCAGTAGTAGAAAACTGTCAAAGGAGGGGGGTGGGATTGACAGTTGAGAGAAACTGCTAGGGGGGTGAGGGGCATACCTCATCAACAAGGGTACCTACATGATCAATGTTTATATACCTAACCCTGAATTGTACCCCACATCTCTATAATAAATAATAATTAAAAAAAATAAACATATTCTTAAAATCAATTTTTAAAGACAAATGCATTAAATTTTCCTATGTATTTCCTTCCTATACTTTTATTCTTGGAAAATCTTTACCATTTTTGTGATGTTTTCTAATAATTTTTCTAATTAAGTTTTATAACTGAAATTTTTTTTTTTTTTAATGTTAAGAGAATATCTATGAGGTAGTGAATTTCACATCCCTGGGATGATTCCAGAAGAAGCTGGATCATTATCTACTGAGGATATTAGATAATGAATTTACACATTAAATACAAGAAAATATTTTTAGTAAATCTGATCCAGAAAGTTTTCACCAGAGATATATCCCAAATTTAGAAACTTTCTCCGCTTTCATATAAATGATAGCATGCTCCAGACATATTCCTTGTACTTTTTTTCACATAACAATATGTCTTGAAGAGGCTTCCACATTAGTAAGTAAACAGCATTTTCCTTTTTTAAAAAACTTTGGAATATTTCTTTGCCTGTAGGTACCATTATTTCTTTAATTGGTCCCTTACTGAGAGACATTTAGGCTGTTTCCAATATTTTGCTATTATAAACAATGCTGCAAGACATGTGTATAATCTCATATATGTGCCATTTTATACAATTTGGAGAACAGCTATCTTATGATAAATTCCTAGAGGTAATGTTCTCTACTCAGAATTATGTATCTTTGTCAATACAGTGCATAATCAACATTTTTGATTGTTGAAAATCTGGATAAGTTTTAACTGCAATCCTATTACATCAATAAATTTGAGCATCTTTTTAAATGTTTCTTACCCACTAATGATTCTTTTTCTTTTGGAAATGTTTGATAATTTTTTTAAATAGACCTTAATTTTTACAGAAATTTTAGGCTTACAGAAAATACAGAGGGCTCCTATGTATTCCCTGCTCCACACATAGATATGAACAGTTTCTCTTATTATTAACATCTTGTACTAGTGTGGTACATCGTTACAACTGATGAACCAATACAGATACATTATTATTGAATCCATATTTTACATTAGGAGTTTACTTTTTATGTTGTGCATTTCTAAATGTATAACAAATGCATAACATCATGCACCCATCATTATGACATACAGAATAGTTTCACTGCCCTAAAAATGCCTTTGCTTCACTATTCGTTCCTTCTTCCTCCCCACTATACCCCTAGGAGCTACTGGTTTTTTTTTTTTTCGTCTCCCTCATAATTTTGCCTTTTCCAGAAGGTCATACAATTAGAATCATATAGTCTGAAGCTTTTCAAGACTGCCTCTTTTCATTTAGCAATATGAATTTAAGTTTTTTTCTTGTCTTTTTTTGTAGGTTGATAGCTCATTTCCTTATACTGCTGAATAATATTCCATTATATAAATGTACACCTATTTGGTTTTCTGCTCTTTTTTTTTTTTTTTTTTTTGAGTTGGAGTCTCACTCTGTCACCCAGACTGGAGTGCAGTGACCATTCCCGGCCACCGCTGCCTCGACCTGCTGGGCTCCGGCGATCCTTCCGTCTCAGCCTTCCAAGTAGCCGGAATTACAGGTGCGCGCTACCACGTCCGGCTAATTTTTATTTATTTATTGTAGAGATGAGGTCTCGCCTGCCCAGGTGGGTCTCGAACCCGCGGGCTCATGCAATCCACTCACCTCAGTCTCCCATCTTGGTGCTTCCATTTTTTTTTTCACATTCAAGTAAAGGTTGTTGTGTGAACATAGTTCCAATTAATTATGGTAAATACCTAGGAACACGACTGCTTAATCAAATAATATGCCTGTTTTACTTATAAGAAATTCCAGACTGCCATCCAACAAGGTTGTATCATTTTATTTTCCCACCAGCAGTGAAAAAGAATGCTTATTGCTTCACATCCTTTCTAGTGCTTGGTGTTGATTTTTTTTTTTTTTGAGTTGGAGTCTCACTCTGTCGCCCAGACTGGAGTGCAGTGGCACGCTCCTGGCCACCACAACCTCAACCTGCTGGGCTCCGGTGATCCTTCCACCTCAGCCTTTCAAGTAGCCAGAACTACAGGTGTGCACTACCACACCTGGCTAATTTTTGATTTATTGTAGAGACGAGGTCTCACCAGGTTGCCCAGGCGGGTCTCAAACCCGTGGGTTCAGGCAATCCACTTGCCTCAGCCTCCCAAAATGCTGGGATTACAGGCTGAGCTACCAAGCCTGGCCTGGTGTTGATTTTTAAGAATTCTTTTTATACTTAGGACATTTGCCTGTATCTGTATTATGAATTGCAAATTCTTCTTTTACTTTATCTTTTTGTTTTTGAATTTTGTTTAATAAGTTTTGTGACGCAGCATTTTAAAAATATTTTATCTTATTTTTTCTATTAGGGTTTTGGGCAATTGGGTCATATTTAGAAACACATTTCTGCTTTCTAGATAATTAAATAAAAATCTGTTATGAGTTCTAATACCTGTAGTTCCACGTTTTAAATGTATATATTTGCTCAATATATACATCTGATATTAATTTTTAAGAGGTAAAGTGTAACTGCACCTTTTTTCCAGATGAATGTCCCATTATCTTCATACTGCTTACAGAATATTTCTACATAAAAATAAAATAGTATAGAAACATTTTTCCCTTTTCCCCTCATTTACTTATGTCCAGAGCCCTAGCAGCTATTCTATGTCATCCTAGAGAAGCCAGAGACTACACACACACACACACACACACACACACACACACACACACACACACACGTATAAGGAGAGTTTCAGTACAAATCCTAGTTGCTTTACTACTTAGTATATGGTTTTGGAAACGTTGCTTATTATACTTAAACTTGATTTTTTTCATATTTAAGGGAAAAGAAGAAAAAATTCATTTTCTACAGTTTCTACGAGTATTAAAATGAGATAGAAGATTGCCAGATACAATCTTGAATACAAAATAAGTGTCCTTTAAATGGGGATTATTATTGTTATTATTATACTAAAAGTGATACTATTTATGAATTAACACAAAGAAAATTAATTAATAAAATATATTTATGACAACTTACCCAAATAATATGGAATTATATATTCTACAAGACCCTCTCGTCCCACAGCTGTTGGTGGACCACTTCATACATGTTCTATCAATCAGACTCCCAAAATATATTGGAGCTAGAATTCCTCCTGTAATATGAGATGAGAAAACAGCCATCCAAAAGACATATTGCAAATGTAACTGGGTGATATTTTACATTTTGGGTTAAAGAAAAGTTAAAAATTTTGAAACTCTTTCATGTTTTGTCCTGCATCTACCCAAGAATCAAGATTATTAAGATTGTCAAAGGTTCTAATCATATAGCAATATCATAGACTACTTTTATCTACCCTCACCTCCCTGACAATAGGGAAGAAGGAACATTATGTTCCTGTACTTTATGTTCTTATAATGCCAATTAGCTTAAACCTGATTGGTGAAAAGGGGGAATGATGTTAGTAAAACATGGAAGTTATGCTGGTTTATATGCAATTTTTCTTAGGAAAAAGAGCTGAAATAGTGGGAGTAGAATTGTAACTTTATGGGAAAAGGATAAAGCTCCCAACTCAACTGTTATAAATGCAGAAGTTTTTTCAAAACTATTTTGAGAAAATTAAAAATGAGTGCTTACAGCAGCACTCCCTCCCCAGAGCAGTGCAAACCCAGCTTCAGAGAGAGGTTGGCTACTGGCAAGTTGTACTTCCTTCTGGGCTCAGACATCTACTTCCCTCTTCTTGATGTCATTAGAGCACACAACCCAGAATCTTCTTTCCATTAATTTTGTACATTTTACAATATTTCATGAAGCACACTAGGCTGTCCAAGTCAGGGTCTTTGGAGCTAAACTTTGTTTCTCTTAGTGTTCTGATCACAATGATTCAATTGACTAAGAGGTCTGTCACTTAGTCAATTTTTGTTTGTAGAACATGAGTTTGTATAATGCAAAGCTTTTCAGAGACATATATATTAACAGCAGAAGTGTCGATCTCCTACTACTGCTATTTTACCTCTGAGATTGACTATGTGTTTTATGAAATAAAGTTTAAGCAAAAACTTGGCCTTAGTTACTGGAATTTTAAAATTTCTAATAACCTGTTTTCTAAATAATTTTTTTAGTTTAATTCACTATATAGTTATTTTACAGTTTATTCATATATTGTATTCAAGACAGTTGTTTGTGAACTGGAAGTTTGGTACTTAGTATGTATTTTTCCCATAGAAACATCTAGGTTCCCTTGTGCCATATATTGGACACATCAAAACAGGAAGCTCAGAATTAGAATGGAAAAATTTAGTTTTTAAATTTTATGTTGCTACAATAATTTATTCTGTTCTCATATTCTCATTTTAACATATCAGAAGGAATGCTAAAAACTCAGATTCTATTTTCAGCTCTGTAATCTAGGTTCTAGGAGTAAGGCATCTACATTGAATCTGTAGGTAGAAGACTGCTGGGTTGTACAGAGTTTGGAAGATTCGAGACATATAAAATAGAATGCTGGACAGAGAACTAGTAGAACCCTGCCGTACATCTATCTTCTCTCTCCTCTTCCCTTTACACACTTTTTCTTTTCACCCTTGAAGATCCATAATCTTCTTCCCAAATTCACTTGCACAAACTCTGCATTATAATTTGGCCATAGAGTTACACTTTTTGCTTTACTTGCAAGAATTCCAGGGATTGACACCACCCACTTCCTTATCTTTCTGCCACTGGTAGTTGCCTCTGGGACATGATCAGTCCTCTACACCAATTCCTAGATAAATGATGCCTGTTTCCTACTTCTTAAAAATGAGAGCATAATGTTTGTTTATTTATTTATTTATTTGCACTCACAGGGCTTAGGCTAGAAATTGTTAACCACAACAGGCATCCACGTGACAAAAATACCAAATGGCAACAAGGGAAAGGGGTACTTTCCTAAATCTTTCACTCATCATCTGTGAATATTTAGAAATAGTCCTTTATCCTCTGGAGTCTATAGTCCTACGGTTTGCCAACATAAGCCATAATTTCCTGAGCTTTTTTAAAATTCAGAACATTCTCTTAATTCAAGATGCCCAGTTCTAGAGTCTTAATTCTTATTCCCTGGTGTATTAACCCTTCTAAAATTTAGCTGCTCTGCAATACAGAACTAGGCAGTGGTAAGTGTCACTGTTAGTGTCAACTTTATTGTTTTGCCTGATCAATGTCCAGGCTTCCTCAGACTGCTTTAAGTCTTCCTTAAATAATGCACCATTTAGAAGGAAGGCTTTCCACTCTACCCACCTGGAAGAAGTATGCCTATTTGTATGAAAGTACAGAACCTTAGATGAATGCCTTTATGTTAAAAAGAACAGAATCCAAATATGATGATTCCTTTGTCTTAACAGATTGACTTTAACTAGAATAAGTAATCAGGTTCTCTTTTAGGTCACTTGATTTTCCTCTATCTCTTATTATTTTAATTTATCACAAATATAAATTGTATTCTTATTCCTTTCTTAACTTTCTTACAGTTAAAAGTTAATTACATTCAGAATTTAAGCTTTGGCATCAGTATTTTTATTTAAAATTTATAGTCTATATTTTCATCATACCTAGTGTTCGTATAACCAGTGAATGGAAACCCATTGCAAGTGATTTCAATTCAGGTTTAACAATCCTGAAATAAAATAAAGGTAAAGAAACATTACATGCTGTTAACATGTCAAAGTGAGTCAATATTATAACATTTCTTGGTAGCATTTTTCTTCAAGATAGAATAAAAACCCTCAAGAGAATGGCCTATATTATATAAAGTTATACTTTCAATTCTTCAAAGAGGTAAATAGCTGAGTGATTCATAATAATTATTATTCTCTTATTTATTCAATGCATTATGATCTCAAGACAGTTTAATATATTTTTACATTTGGGTCTTATAAAGATCCTTTAAGAAAATGGTTGAAACAGACTTTATTATTCCTATGAAAAAACCTGATTTTTTAATGGTTTATTCAGTTAAGGTAGGTCATATTAAATAATTATGTACTTTAGTCTAGGTGTAGGTCTTAGCAAATCTCTTTTACCACCTATTTCTGTAATCAGTGTTAACAGAAAAACCTTGCTAAGATGATTCATAAATGATTCATAATATTATTGATAAACATAATACAACCAGACACGTAAAATAATTTTTTGTGTACTAGAGTCTAGTGCATGTGTCATCTTAAAGGCAGACAGCACATTTATATCCTTACATAAAAATTCACTCACTCTTGAATTTAAAAGCTACTTTCACATTCTATTTTTCTGTGTTCAAGGAACCGATGACAATGTCACCCCGGTGATAACCTAATACATACTAAGTAGACTGAAATTATTAGCAGTAGTGGAATGGAGGATTGAAATGGGGGGGAAACTGAAAAGCTCCTTTTATTGAAAGATGAATTAACTGATAAAAAAGTTTGTTTGTTTTTTATCTAAACTATTTGATGACTGTACATTTTTAGAGAGGTAACCAATCCCTCTTGATCATTTTTTGCCACTTCTACTGAGTTTGTCCTCCTAAAGACCTCTAGACCCATGAAGCAGTGCACCATCTTAATGCCTTCATGTTAAAAAGAATGTAATCCAAATATGATGATTCCTTTGTCTTAACAGATTGACTTTAACTACAATAAGTAATCAGATTCTCTTTTAGGTCACTTAATTTTCCTCTATCTCTTATTATTTTAATTTATCACAAATAGAAAATGTATTCTTATTCCTTTTTTAACTTTCTTACAGTTAAAAGTTAATTACATTCAGTATTTAAGCTTTGGCATCAGTATTTATATTTAAAATTTATAGTCTATATATTCATCATACCTAGTGCCATTCTCTGACCTTTCATTGAAGTTAACTGTATACTGGCACATCATCACTTCTATCATTTCTTGTCAATTTTTTCTAGGTTCTCGGTCATTTTTTTCAAAACAATTTCTGCCACTTTTCTTAGATATTTAATATCCACATAGAGCATTCTCTCAATGATCTTGCTTTCCAGTTTTGTTGTTGTTGTTAACTCTTCTCCTTTGGGTCTTGTATTTCCCACCTTACAGTCAGACGACTCGGTACTTATTTTTTCTATTCTTGGTTTTGAACATCCCCATATTCATAACTACCAACTAACTTTTAAATTACTCCCTCTAATACACTTGCTGCAACAAGCTTCGGGCTCACAGGTCTCTCCATGCCCTTGATTTCCCCAACTTTTTCACAGGGCATCTCTAATTTCATCTCTTCACTTCTTTTCTAAACTTATCTTTTAATATAATCACCACTCTGCATATGTCCTGGAGTTTTTTTTTGTCTGTCTCATCGTTTATTGGGGTAGACTAGCAAAAATGCTTTGCTCTAACCCTCTTTCTTTCTGAAACTATACCCAAAGAGCTACATTGCTGGAGAGGATTGCCTGAGCTCACAGGTTTGAAACCAGCCTGGACAACTTGGCGAGACCTCATCTCTTCAATAAATCAAAAAATTAGCCGTGTGTGGTGGCATGTGCCTGTAGTTCCAGCTACTCAGAAGCCTGAGGTGGAAGGATTGCCTGAGCTAACAGGTCAAGGCTATGGTAGCCATAAGTGTGCCACTGCACTCCAACCTGGGCAACAGAGTGAGACCCCAACTTAAAACAACAAAAAAGATGTTTACAGAACCAAAGTAAAAGGATAGAAAAAATATATTTCATGCAAACAGAAAATAAAATTGAGCTAGAAAAGATATACCAGATGAAACAGACTTTCAATTCACAACAATAAAAAAGACAAAAGAGGTTATTATATAATGATAAAAGGATCAATTCAACATCACAATATAACAATTCTAAATATAAATACACCTGACACTGTAACACCAGATCCATAAAGCAAATACTGTGAGATTTAAGGAGAGAAATTACAGTAACAATAATAGTGATGGAGTTCAGTATTCCACTGACAGCACTAGAAAGATCATTGAGCAGTAAACAACAAATTAACCCTGGCTTAAACTTCAAACCAAAAGAATCTAATAGAAATTTATATAGTATTTTATTCTATAAGCACGTTATGTACATTCTTCTGATCTGTGCATGGAATGTTCTCTAATATCATCTATATTCTAAGTCACAAGGCAAGTCTCAAGAATTTTTAAAAATGCAAAATTCTGTCAACTGTCTTCTCACACCACAGTGAAATAAAACGGAGTGACCATATGCTAGGCCTCAAGGCAAGTCTCAATGAATTTAAAATAATATAAATTATATCAAGTACTTTCTCAGATTGCAGTGGGATAACACTAGAAATCAACATTTAAAAACTCATGAAGTAGCCGGGCTCGGTGGCTCAGCCTGTAATCCCGCGCCTTTGGGAGGCTGAGGTGAGTGGATTGTCTGAGCCCGCGGGTTCGAGACCCGCCTGGGCAATGAGACCTCATCTCTACAATAAATCAAAAAATCAGCCGGGCGTGGTAGCGCGCGCCTGTAATTTCGGCTACTTGGAAGGCTGAGGCGGAAGGATCGCCGGAGCCCAGCAGGCGAGGCTGCAGTGGCCTGGAGCGGCCACTTCACTCCAGTCTGGGTGACAGAGTGAGACTCCAACTCAAAAAAAAAAAAAAAAAAAAACAACTCATGAAGTTATATAAATACATGGAAATTAAATAATCTTCTCTCAAATTGATTGGTCAGCAATGAAGTTAAGGCAGAAATTGTTTAAAGATTTGAAATGAATCGAAATAGAGATATAATATACTAAAAGCTATGGAATACAGCAAAAACAATGCTAAAATGTAAGCATGTTGTAACAATAAATGACTACATCAAGAAGATAGAAAGATCTCAAAGTAACAGCCTAATGTCATACCTCATGAAATAAGCAAAACAAGAACAAACCACACCCAAAGAGAGCAGAAGCAAAAATTTAAAAGAGCAGAGCAGAACTAAATAAAATCGAGACAACAAAATTTTAAAAATAGAAAAGATCAATGAAATGAGAAATTACTTATTTGAAAAGATAAATGAACTGGATAAATTGCTAGTTAGATTAAGCAAGGAAAAAAGAGAGAAGATTCACATATGCACAGTCAGAATTGATAAATCAACTTATATAACAGAAATACAAAAGACAAGCTGTGACTACTATGACTATCCCTGTGCACACAGACTAGAAAACTTAAAGGAAATGAATAAATTCCTGGAAACATACAATCTCCCAGATTTGAACAGAGCAGAAATTGAAATCCTTAAAATACCTGTAATGAGTAGTAAAATTAAATGAGTAATTAAAAAAATCTCAGCTGAATTCTCCCAGACATGCAAGGAAGAAATACCTATCCTGCGAATCCATTCCAAAACATCGTGGAAGAGGGAATCCTTCATCACATGTTCTATAAGTCTAGCATCGCCCACATAGGGCACAGCAAAAGCCAGGGTGGCACAATAACAACAACAACAAAATAATAAAGATCAATATCCCTGATAAACACACAAAATTTGCAAACCAAATCCAACAGCATATCGCAAAGGTAATATACCATAATTAGGCAGGTTTTACTCCAGGGATGTATGGTTGGTTCAACATACACAAATCAATGAATGTGATTCACCACATAAACAGAATTAAAAACAAAAACTATATAATCATATGAATGTATGCAAAAAAGCATTCAATAAAATCTAGAACCCTTTCCTAATAAAAACTCTTATCAAACTAGGCATTGAAGGAACATATCTCAAAATAGTAAAAACCATATATGACAAACACATAGCCAACATAATAATAAATAAGGAAAAGTTGTAAGCATCTCCACCAAGAAGTCTAACAAGACAAGGATACTGTTTCACTGTTTCTATTCAATATATACTAAAGCCCTACCTAGAGCAATTAGGGAAGAGCAAGAAACAAAAGGCATCCAAACTGGAAAAGGGTAAGTCAAATTCTCTGTCCAGTGATCTTATACTTAGAAAACCCAGGGCTTCTCAAAAAGAGTCCTAGATTTGGTAAATGACTTCAGTAATGTTTTAGGACACAAAATTAATGTACAAAATCAGTTGTAATATACCAATAAAATCAGGCTGAGAATCAAATCAAGAACTCAATAACTACACAAAAATAAAATACTTAGGAATTCATGGAATCAAGGAAGTGAAAGATCCTGCAAAACACTGTAATAAAAGAAATCGTAGATGACACAAGCAAATGAAAAATCATCTCATACCCATAAATTGGAAGAATATCATTAAAATGGCCATCCTGCTCAAAAACAATCTACAGATTCGATGGAATTTCTATGAATTACCAACAGAGAAGTCTCATTCTTCAGAGAATTTGAAAAACAATCCTAAAATTCATTTGAAGCCTACTAGAGTTCAAATACTCAAGCTCATCCTAAACAAAAATTTTTTTAAAAGCTAGAGCTATCACATATTACTTGAGTTTAAAGTATACTATAAGGCTACAGGTACTACAAGTAACCAAAACAGCATGGTACTAGTAGATCAGTGGAACAGAATAGAAAGATCAGTGGAACAGAATAGAAAACCCAGAAATAAAGTCACATATCTACTACAACTAATCTTTGGCAAAGTCAACAAAAATATGCACTGAGGAAATGAAACAGTAAATGTTCTTGGGAAATTGAAGAGCCATATGCAGAAGAATGAAAATGGACTCCTAGATCTCACTATATGCCAAAATTAACTCAGAGTGGATTAAGACTTAAAGGTTAAACCTTGAAGAAAGAAATATAGAAAATTCTATCAGAAAATCTATAAAAAAAACTTTTCTGCCTGATGGCTCAGGTAAAGAATGTATGACTAAATCCTCAAAAAGAAAGACAACATAAACAAAATTAGACTAATGAGACTTAATTAAACTAAAAAGCTTCTGCACAACCAAAGAAACAATACAGAGTAAATAGATAACCTACAGAAGAGAAAAGTATTTGCAAACATTACATCTGACAAAGGACTGATATCCAGAATCCACACAGAACTCAAACAACTCAACAAGAAAAAGCAAATAACTCCATTAAAAACTGTGCAAAGAACATGAAAAAATATTTTTCAAAATAAGTTATCCAAATAACCGGCAAACATATACAAAATGTTCAGCATCACTGATCGTCAGACATATGAAAATTAACCCACAACTAGATAAAATTTTATACCAGTCAGAATGGCTACTAATAAAACTTTTAAAAAACAACAAATATTATTGAGGCCATAGAGATAAGGGAGCACTAGTACAATATTGGTAGAAATGTCCATTAGTGCAACCTCTGTGGAAACAGTGGAGAAAACTCAAAGAACTGACGTACCATTTGATAAAGTAATCCCACAACTGGGTATCTACTAAAAAAATCATTTTATCAAAAAGATACTTGCACTTTTATGTTTTATCTCAACACTATTCACAATAGCCAAAATAATGGAATTAACCTGTCCATCAACTTGAATAAAAAATGTGATAACTATATCTATATCTATATATCTATCACAGAATACTACTCAGTCATAAAAAGAATAAAATCATGCTATTTGTAGCAATATGGATGGAAATTGAGGCCTTTGTTCTTGTAAAATTACTCAGAAAAACAAAATGCCAAAACCCACATATTTTCACTTGTAAATGGGAGCTAAACAAGGGGCACATACGGACATACAGAATGGAATAATAGACACTGGAGACTCCAGAAGTTGAGAGGGTAGGAGGAGGATAAGGGATAAAATACTACCTATTGTATATAATGTACACTGTTTGAAAGACTAATTGTATACTCAAAGCCCACACTTCACCACTATGCGATATATCCATGTTTCACAACTGCACTTGTTCCTCTAAATTCATAAAAATTAAAAATTATAACAAAAATGTAAACTGAAAACTTAGCAAACAAAAGAAGGCAGCCCTCTTTCCCTCCCATCTTTGTGCACTACTTTTGTTTATGCTAGCAGTGACCAGCACATCACAAAATTCAATGATTACTTTCTAGTATTTAAACTCCTGTGAACTCTCAGCAGCCCTTGACACAGTTGCTCACTCTCTCCTTTCTGACATATTTTTTATTAGACTGCAGGGGTACCACACTTTTCTAGTTTTTCTCATCTTCATAGGACCTCCTTTTCAGTTTCTTTCAATGGTTTCTCTTTTTGTTATTAATCTCTGAAGTTAGAGTACCTGGGTTTTGGACCTAGGATCTTGTTTCTATCTGTACTCAATACGTAGAATATCTCAATAGTGTCATGGATTTAAATACTATCTGTGTGTTGCTCACTCCAAAATTTATCTCTTGTGCCAATGTTTCTCCAGAATATTTGATTGCATATGTGACATTGTTGCTAGATATCGAACATGCAGCTCAGATTTATAGGGATAAAACAAATTCTTGTTTCTGCACTTCCTGCAACCTGTTATTTCTCGGTATTTTGTTCAATAGTAGCACCATCCTTCCAGAGCTCAGGTCAGAACTTTGGGATTATTCTTAAGTTGACTTTCTCACATGCCACAGTCAATCTATCAGCAAACACTATCTGCTTTGCCTTAAGACCAAAACAAAACTGAGGCTGATACTTAAATCACACCCCACTTTCTTTATCATCACCATCTTCAATCAACTTTCTATCTTGTAAAGAAGAATCACAGTCTTCTGTTTTTACTGATTTTATTCTTATCTGATCACACATAGCCAGAGTGATCTTCTAATTAGTTAAGATAGTTGTGCCATTTTAAGACATAAACCCTCGGGGGCTTCTCAACACACTTAAACTCCAGAGTCTTTCCTGTGATGCATATGATCCTAACCATGCTAGCTTGGTTGTACTTGATGTACTTATTTCCTCTCTCTTCCTCACACACTTTCCTGACTTTGTACATGTCAGATATGCACTATACTACCAGGGTCTTTACCTCTGCACTTTTTCACCTGGGCTGTTCCTTCCTTGTCCCGGTTTATCATGGATTATACTTTTATTCTTCGTCTCTTCATTCAGAACTCATATAAAATAACCTTCAATGCACAGTATCTGAAGTAGTATCTCTTATCTATTCTCCCACTTTTTCTCTTTTCATACTGTTGTATTTTTTTTTACTAGTGCTTAACACACTATTTTACATATTTACTTGATTATTTGTTTATTGTTTCATCTCCTACACCCCTCTACCCCAACCTCTCTGGAAGTAAATGAAGTTTCATCACTTGTGTTCACTGTTGAGTCCTCAGGGCATAGAACTATGCCTGACACATGTAATGAACACATATGGAATGAGTGAGTGGCCTCACTCCTCCTTAGTCTAGTTTTAGCAATAGCCTCATGAGGTAACAATTAGAAAATCATTAACAGACTGAAGATAATATGTTTACTATACAGTCAACCTCATACATTTTTTTCACTAAAATCAAAGACTAGTGAGAGATTAATAAGTGTTCTTACCATGTGGCAATTGATTTGATCACCTTCATAATAAGATAAAACTATGGAACAGTTTTTTTTTAATGTTTTGTTGTATGAAAGAACTTAAATTAAAAAGCTAAAACCTATTGAGATGCAAACTAGTATGGAATCTTGGGGTTATTTTCTATAAGTAAATGAATTTTTAATTGGCAAATATAGAAGATTTCTCCTTTGGAGTAGAAAACGTTTTGTATTAAGGTGAGCTATATCTGTGGAATAAATGAGTGTAAATAATTTGACAAGATTTGAAGTCAGGGTTAAATTTAAACAACTATTAACTCAGCTTATAGGTCTATATTCAAAAATATAAAAAACAAAAGTTAATAACACATTTTTTTCCCTACCATGTCATGCTGTTGGCGGACAGTGAAGTTGTGATTTTTAAAGTGTAATTCGATGTCAACCCAGGTCACCATACTTACATATGCATATTTTAAAAGAATATATGCAAGTCTCTACATGTTTTCAGTTTTAGGTGATTGATTGATTAACTTGGCCAATAGAGCATGCATTATCTGCTTTCTCCCAACTCTCTAATCTTATCTTGCACCATACCTCTCTCACTTAGTATGTTCCAATTAATGATCTTCCTTTCATTCCTCAAACATGCTAGCTCTTTCCCACCTTAAAGCATCAGCACTTAAACCCTCTCCCTGAAAGTGCTTCATTTGGATAACTTTTTTTTAGAACTTCAGATCTAATGTCATTTCTTTTAAGAAGTACTTTCTGAGTCTTCTCCCTCACAGCTCCTCACCTTAATTCCAAATTAGGTTTTTCTCCTTATTCCCTTTAATAACAGTATTTTTTTCTCATTAAGACTGAGACCAATGTGTAATTATAATTATGTGATTATTTCTAAGCTTATTTGTCTTGTGTTAGACTTTCCTGTCGCTTTTTAAGTTGTATGACAACAGTTAACTTATTGGATTAATTCACCTGGAAATATTCCTCATCAACCATGCTATCTTGTCTAAATAGTTGTCTAATGTGTGGAGAATATATATATATTCTACAATAGCATATATATGTATATACATATATATATTCTACAAAAGCATTGTAGGAGGCTAGGTCAAAAGTCATGCTGTGTGTGGACTAAAACATTTGGAATTTAATTGTAAATTGAAGTTTATATTTATATTTGATTCTTAAATGTTTTCTTTCAATGAAATCAATGAATGCTTTACACTGACAGACACATTAGGATGCAAGGCTACTCAACATTAATAAATTATTTTAGGTTCATACATACATAGATTCTTCTACAGTTGAAACAATTGTCATTCATTCTGTGCTTTAGGATTCTTGATAAGAGAAAAAAATATGGAATCTAGATTTCATATTGGAAGCATTAGAGGCAAATTTATTCATTATGACATTGAAGTATCACAATGATTCAAATAAAATTAATTTGTTAAAAATGAAAATTTAACTAAATATGAATTTGAGTTTCAAATATATTATGGAAAAATATATGTATCGTTAGGTTTATTTATAGTCTAATATACATAAATATGTTTTAAAAAGTCATACTTACTTAACAATCAGCAAGATATATGTGGTACCTCCAATTGCAGAGAAAAAAATATTTACGACTTGTGTTGCAACATAAAAGTAAAATTTTTTTGTACACCCATCATCTCTTGGGCATTCACCCAAACGGGCTGAGTAATTTCCGTTCTGGAAACCAGTTACTTCCACACAACTACAGTTATAAAACACCTAAAAATGGTTTTTGAAATATTACAGAATATATTTGAAAAACACATCAGGACTATAAATATATTGCATTATATATAAAGAAGTGTTATTCATCTAAACTAAAATATTTATAGTTTAAAAAAATTCTAAAATACAGTGCCTAATAGATAAAAGTTTTCTGGATTCCTTTCTGTACAAGAAAATGTAGTTCATTATTAATGTTTAATCATTATTAATTTTAAAAATAGGAAATAATTAAAGAAATTAGTCTCAAACTTTATATATAATTTTCTCAATAATATACATTTTTGTCAATATTTCTCTTTCATTCACTTTTATTTTTATAACACACATTCTTCTTCTCTTTAATAGTCTCTACTGAGTATTGAGAGCATGTCTTAGTGAAGGATAACTCCCAGAATTCAGAAAATACAGCTGTTTGGGAGGGGCCTAAATCTGGAACAAGAGCCACCATGAGAATGGGGCAGAGTCTAGGGAAAATAACGTCAATGGGGGAGGCCCAAGTCCTTCTGATTGAGGACAAGCCTGTGGACAGTGTGAGGCCGGTAGCGGCCCCCTGGTGAGCCGAACTGGGTCTTCCCAGAGTTGGGTTGCTTGGGAATGCAGCCCAAAGTGGGTGGCAAACTCCATCTAGGGCTGAATAACAGTGCGAGAACTATAGTCAGCAAATACCATTAGGGAAAGTTGAAAAGAACTTTGAAGAGACAGTTATAAATAAATAAATAAATAAATAAATAAATAAATAAATAAATAAATAAATAAAAAGCCAATCAGAGGTGCTGGAATTCTATATTAGTAGGATAAAACAACATCCAAAACTATAATGACAGATAATGAAACAGATGACTTTATTATTAGGAAGGTTCAATACAACAGAATGTGATTTTAGAGACTTAATCAGGCAGATGGTTAATGTAGATAGGTGCATTTCATAAATTCTGTTCAGATTCCAGTCTAAACTAAAGTTTAAAGGAAGTTCACTCTGAACTTATTACTTAAGACTATTTACTGAAGAAGGAATAGTAGAGAAGTTAAATCGATACTTGTATGGTTCTATCAAGCTTACTTTTGTACTTTTTTTTAAAAAAAGCTAGGAATAATACGAAGAAATCATTTACAAAGTAAGCAAATTGGTCAATTAAACCAAACTTTGATATAGAGATCATTATAAGAAGATGTGGTTCATTTATAAGGATTCATTAATAAGCAAAATAACCTAGCGGAAGTTCCCATATAGTATAGTCATTGCCAGTATTAAGAAGATGGTGTCTGCATGGTAGAAAGAGCTCTCTTTAGGATTCTCATATCATGTCTTTTTCATGATTTAACTAGATGACCTACATTAAAAGGGGCACTCTAACTGAAAGGCACTATAACTATGAATGTGATATGTAGACTTTGATGTAGACTGTGGGCCATATTTATGCAAGTTTATTAGAGTTTGTTCTATCTTTAAAGAACCTAAGAAGCTTTATTTTTCTAAGTTCTCCATGCCTTTTTATAATGCAAGTGGTAAGACAAGCGACAAGGAAAAGGTGGAAATCAAATACAAAAGGCTGTGACAGAGAGAAATAATCATAGTTGACTATATTGCTAATGTTGTTTATAGGAAAAGGGCCTGAGAAATGATTACCAACCTTTGTGAGATGGTAAATGGATTGGAGGTCTGGGTAACACAATCTCTGATCCCCAACTATTGGGAGTTATCTAAGAGAGTGGGGAGAACCCACTTTCATGGAAATAAATGTTTTGAGTGAAGAAAGAAATCGCATTTCCGTGGGATATGTTGGCAATAAGTGAGCAGGATACTAAATTATCCTAAATGGGAAAAGTGCTAGCTTTGGGGAAATCAAAATAGGAAATCAAGACTGGGCAGTCAAGTGAGTATGAAGTATGAAAGCAAAAAAAGGTAGTGAGCTCAGAGCTAAATTCATCAAAATCTCTATAAAATTTCATGTAGATTGTTGTCCTAGTTAGGTAGATAGTGCTGACAATGGATTAATTCAGGACTTTCCCCTAACTTCTGAATGAGAAAGTAATTCCAACTTAATAAAAGTCAAATAAGGTGCTTCTTAGAGGTCCTAAATGCATTCAAATTTCAAAAAGTTATGTTTTTATAATCTCAAGGCAAAAAAGTAGGGTAATCTCAAATTAGAATTCAAGTAACAGAATAATCTGATTGTATAGGCAGGATTTTATATGAAGCTTTGTTTACACAATATCACAGCCATCAAAATGACAGAAAATATTGGAATCTTTTTCTTTTATCTTTTTACTGGAGACTATATATAATTATATATATATAATTTTATAAGTTACTATTAAATCTAGTCAGTGATTTAATTAAGGAAAAAAGAGAAGGTAAAAACTAATACTCACTGTAGACTTTTTATTGCCACTTGAAGATTTGCATCCTGCTAGACAAGGTGAGATGTAAGTTATTCCATTGTTTCCACAGACTGGTTCCCATTCACTTACATCACAATTGCAGTCTGAGTTGCAATAAGAAAGTGGTACATCTATATGAGATGCCACTGGATTATTTCTGGAAATATATGATAGACATATATCAAAAAAGAGAGAGAGAGAAGAGAAAAAAGAAAGAAGAGGAGGAGAATAAAGAGGCAGAGGAAGAGAAGTGGGAAACATAGAAGTCTAGGAAGAAGAGCGAAAAAAGAAGAAAAAGAGAGAAGTAAGAAAAAATATATCTTTAATTCTATAGAAAAATTTGATTTTATTGTGTCAAAATAGTAAAGTTTTTTCTCTTTTTAATGCTTATTCACTTTTAACTCTCTATATTTACCAAGACATGACTTATGACCTAAAAAAGTAAAACTTAAAAAAATAAACCAAAAAGTTAAATAAGACTTAGAAAAAATAGTCTTTAAGATTTTAGCAAGATGAGCCCACGGGTTCAAGACCCGTCTGGGCAGCGAGACGTCATCTCTACAATAAATCAAAAAATCAGCCGGGCGTGGTAGCGCATGCCTGTAATTCTGGCTACTTGGAAGGTCGAGGTGGAAGGATCGCCAGAGCCCAGTAGGTCGAGGCTGCGGTGGCCGGGAGCGGCCACTGCACTCCAGTCTGGGTGACAGAGTGAGACTCCAACTCAAAAAAAAAAAAAAAGATTTTAGCAAGAAATTTCATGTTAGATAAGTCACTTTATTTTTTTACGACTCAGTTTTTCTTCACTAAGATTATATCATTAGACTGGTTCCTCCCAGCTCAGTGCAAATTTGTGTGAATCTATGAATATTCTTTAACTAGGTTGAAGTTTAAAATCTATATTTTAAGTACATAAAAAAAGTCAACATGGGTAAAGCACCACTGATGAATGAAAAAATTAAGAATAATAGAATCAGTTGAAAAAGACTGGAAAAGTTCTGTATTTTTTTACATGAAACCACAGTATGATGTATTTTACTTTATAATATGGATATGAATTATAAAACATAACTTTATAACATTACTAAAACTATAAAATATATTATTTGTATAGTTAATTTTTGTTTTTAAAATATTTTAAAAATTATGTTTGTTATTTTTTGTAAAACTTTGATAATTGAGGATTGATGAATTATCTTTGAATAGGCAAATAATTTAAATGAAAAAAAAGTAGAAATGTTATTCAGAAATTACATTTCTGATTTTATGAAAAAACATTAAATGTCTTATTCTGCTTGAGGACATTTTACTAACTGGTACATTTAAAAAATGGTTAATTATTTCTATGGTCTGAATATTTGTATCCTTTCTTCCAGATCCATAGATTGAAATCTAATCTCCAGTATGTTTCTATTAAAAGGCGGGGCCTTTACAAGGTGATAAGGTCATGCCAGGGAGACTTCATAAATAAAATTAAGCATCCTTGCCTCACCCCTCTCATCATGTCAATACATAGTCAGAGAAGGCACCATCTATGAACTAGGAAATTGGCCCTCACTGGGCACTAATCTGCCAGTAACTTGGTCTTGGGAGGTCCAGCCTCCAGGGTGAGAAATACATTTCAGTGTATTTATAAGCTACTAGTATTTTGTTATAGCAGCACAAATAGACCAAGTCCAGATACTGCAATCAGTCACTCATGTTCATATGAGTTCTGCCATATCCTAGCAATGTGACATTTTTCATCATCATAGGAATTTTTTGGCAAAAAAAAAATTGTTGGCAATTCTCCAGCTTCACAGGAAGTTCTCCGGAATCCTTCATATGCTTAAAAAGGAGTCTTTCACACTCTTTGAGGCCCCAAATACTTTTTACTTACGTGAGTTATATCTATAGCTATATGTTCTATTAGAAATCAATACTAAACAATTTTAATACACAAATATACATATGCACAGATATGACGAGACGTCATATAGCATCATCACATATCTTGTGATCTTAAAAAAATCACTCTGCCCTCATGAATGAGAATAAAGAAAGAAAAATAATGTCTAAATAATATTATAAAAATAGGTTAGAATTTGTGGACCTCTTGATAAAGTCTCAGGGACTACTTGAGATACTCAGGACACATTCTGAAACCTCTGCATTAATTTATATTTTCAAAACTTATCCCAGTGACTAGCATTTCATAAATGTTGAATACATTGATTTGATTATAGGCTATCATTAGATCATGAATTCCATGAGGAAACTGATGCATCCTACAATGTCTTCACCTACAAGAAGGCATTCAATAAAATTTTGTTATATGAAACAAATCCCACAGAACTCTTGCTGTCATCCTTTGAATAGATGGTATGGTTAGTATACTTATTTTCAGGAAACTGGATTTAGGTTAAAGCCTGTTTTGACAACCAGTAATTTTTTGGAACTATTTTTGTGCTATAAAATTAGTCTGGAGTTATTGTGTGACTCCAAGCAAGTGACACTTTATCTAGGAATCAAATTTATCTGGGCTGCATGATCTCAAAGGTTATTTTGCCTGTAAAATTCAATGTTCCAGGCACAATGTGTTTTGATTTATTAGACTAGGTGATAGTGGATAGGAAAGCTCAACAATAATACAGGATTAAGAGCTTGCAAGGAAATAATTCAAGATTAGTTTAGCAAGCCTCTAAGAATAGGATGGTGTTTAAATAAGGAAATGCAGAAAGATTTGACATGTTAAAATCAACACCTCATCGGATTCAGAATTTGAAAGCTCAGAGCCAACAGTAAGCAACACTAAAGAACATGGCTACTGAACTGCTATCTGAGAATCTTTGCTTGTTGCTTGAATGTGAACCTACCTAAGCTTAAATTGTGAGCCATCTTCAGAAGATGATTAGAAGTCTGCATAGGAATCTTGTCTTGATTTGGGTAGAGACTGTAGTGCTAAAAATACTTCACAATAAATAATAATAGTGAAAAAGATTCTCCAAGAGCTAATATGCAGGTATACCTAGGATACTTCCTAATACTACATCCAATGAAGACGTTACCAGAAAAAAAAGGAGAATTCAATTTGATGTAAAAAATGCTATTTTATAAAGACTGTCATTAATATCAAAATAAACTATAGATACCTTTTGAAGAATGTTATGTATATTACACATATGATCCACCCAATATTGTAGTTGTGAAGACGAACAGCTTTGGAGTCACAAACTCAATATTGCTAGCTGTGTAATCTGTGTATTTCTCTAAGCCTTACTTTTCCTCTCCATAAAATGGGGATAAAAGTACACACAACTCATTATAAGTACCCCATAAATGACAGTTATTATTATTACAAACTAAGTTGCTTCTCTTTAAAGAAGGAACAGAATAAAAACTTTTTGAGGCTTTAATAAATGGACATTTATGGACTTCACAGTAACTTGGATGGATTTGGAGTCTATGATACTCAGTGATCTATTACAGAAACAAAGATCTGAGTGGCACACGTACTTACTTGTAAGTGGAACCTGAATATTTACCATAAGAAAGGAATTGGCAGTAGTACCGGGGGCTGGGCGGGAGGGACATAACATCAATAAGGGTACCTAAACTTTACCTGTGCAATGACCATTTATGTACCTAACCATGAATTGTACCCCACATATTTAAAATAGGAAAAATACAAGAAATGAACATTTTAAGAATTTGAAAACTGAAAATTTTCTGAACTAAAAGAGTTTAGTTACAATTTTTTCTGCCCTATTTTACTGACACTGAGTCTTTTAATTAGACAGTTAACATATTATTGAATTGATCTATACAAACCCATCATAGGTCAATGTTAGGCCGGCAACTGATTTGCTTTCACAGATTTGAGTAAAATATAACAGTTGAAAGAACGAGGACATTGTAGAAGTAAAAAATGCTAATTTGGCAATTCCAATTTTAGTCAACTTGAATTTTTTAATGATATATCCTCCTAAAAATAATCCAATTGCAAGAGTAGGTATTGTTATGAGTCCTAGAAATAAAAGAAAAAAGTTGTAATTATATAAATGATTTTCCCAATGTGTCTTTATATATGAAGCACAATGCATATCATCCAAATTCATTGTCTTATTACTTCTTAAATAGAAGGGTGTCAGACCAGAATGCAGATAGGAGAGTAGTGTACCATATAAGAGACAAGAATAACTTCTTCCTACCAATAATGAAATTTTGTTTCTTCAATAGTAAAAGGCTGTAGCTAAAAATATTTGTGTCTAAGCAGATAATTTATATGTGGCATTTTCTTTTTTTCTGGAACAAAACACCATCTTTTTGCCTATGAGACCTTTGATCCTTCCGAAACCCTTTACACCTCTCAAAATGAAATTTCAACCTTTAATAACTCACTCTAAATTTACCAAGTTCTTTTGAATTGAAATTTGATTAATATATATTCGTTATTCATCAAAACCCACATAGATCCTGAAATGATTAACATATCTATGTACAATATTAAAAATGGTTGATCCCATTTATAACTGTTACATTTACTTGTCCTGCAAGAGTTATTGAAGACAGCGATTCATCTGACAAAAAATTCAGGTCAGGCTATTGGGAGTCAAAACTTAACTTTTAAACTATTATTTTAAGTTCAACAAGGAGATCATACAGAAGCCTGCAGTCCGGTCCAGTGGTTTGGTACATTCATTTTCTAATTATTATTTTCTTGTTCACTTATGACCTTGTGACATGCCACTTGATAAATTATTTAATTTTTCAAATGTTTCTACAGTGTTTCTACAAAAATGGAATTGTGGGGGAAATGACAAAGAAAAACTTTCCTTAATAAGCAGGTCTTAAAGCCAATAAAAATATATATTATAGCAAACACCAGCATCTAAAATATATTTGTTTTGAATTATTCATATTTGGAAGATATATTTAAATTGATTCTCCTTTTGCAATAAAACATTGATGTTATATTTTTTGTAAGAAGATGAGTCCTGATTTCAAAGTTCATGAATTATAGAATTATCAAGAAAATAAGTAAAATATATATCTTACCAAGTAAAAAGTTAGCCTGAGATGCAGTTTTACCAAATTGTTGCTCTATGTATTTGAAGATATAAGTAAAACTTCCAATAAAGCTGCTCAGCTGTAATAATGTCAAAAATACAAATAAAACATATAGGGGATTGGTAAGGATGCTTTTCAAAGACTGGATAAAACCTATAAAATTATGAAAATAAAGAAAATATTACAATGCAACTTAAGTATATATTAATATATAAATCCTATAAGTTACATAAAACTTAAAATTATATAAATACATAACAGAAAGGATTACATACATAACTGCAATCCTACTGTAAACAGTTTTTCAATATAGTCCTTAGATATTTTCTACATGTATATTAATTGTTATTTATTTTGTTCATTTTACCCCCAAATAGGATCACACATAAATATTGTTTTGTAACTTGTTCTGTTCATTTGAAATTTGTTTATACTTGGCACTTTTGCATACTATTGCATACATATTAATACACTTATTCATTCATTCAATAAATATTTAGTTATCAATTGGGTGCCAGGCAATAAGCTGAGAGCTCAAGAAACAAAAATGATTCAGATGTGTGAGGTTTCTTATTCATTAACACCCAATAATATAGTTATAATACTAATAATATTGTTAAATATAAATTTAAATTAATTCACTTATTCATTCAACAGATATTTAGTTATCAATTAGGTACTAGGTAATATGCTGAGTGTTCAAGAAACAAAAATGATTAAGACATGCGATGTTTTTATTTATTAGCACTTAATAATAAAATTATTATACTAATAATACTGTTAAATAAATTTAAATTAAAGATAGCATACTCTAAAACTTACATAAATAAGAACAATTAGTTTCCAAATTTTTAAAGATCTATTTAGTATGAAGACTCAGACCTCTTAACTCTTTGGTATAAAGCTTTTCTACCATAAAATGCTTCCTCAGTAAATTGGGCTGTATTATAAATCGCCTGTCTTAAGATGCAGGAAGCTATAGAGGATATGCTATATCTCAAGTGAATGACATTATGGATTTTATGGCACAACAAGCTATGCCTACAAACAGGTGTAGTAAAAAATTTCTAACTTCTGTCCATGTCAGAAATTATGTGGTCTGGGTCTGTGATGACCAGGTCAAGCAGCCAGCTGTGACTGGAATTAAAAATGGGAAAAATTACTTGGAAAAACAGTAGAAAAGATCAGAGTTCAATAAGACAGAGCCAGATATAGTTATTGAGAGATGAATTATATGGGCTGAAAGACATTGCTCTCTATAGATCTCTAAAAGTTTGCATTATATGTGGTCAGAACTAAGGCTGCTAATTAATGAAAACTAAGAAATAGTTCCATCTGTTTATAATAGGAAGAAAAGAGAGTTAGGAAAAGTGTACAGAAAAAAAGAAGAGGTAAGGAAATTCATAACAAGAATAAACATTGTTTAAAATTGTTAGGCCAAAGTGTCAAACTTTTTCCCACAGGACTCCCCAGTCAGAATGATCCACCACTGATTTGTAAGGTATTCTACATGAGTAGAACTTAGATGTATCAAATTATTGAATTTTTGAGGTGGATGGGAACTTGGATGCCGTCTAGTCTGAACTTCCATATAGTCATGATCTACTCTATATTCTTAAAAAATTGATCTATAAACAATTCCACTGATATTAAGCTGACTACCTCAGAAAGTAATTTGTTCCATCTTTGAAGAGTTCTTCTTGTTAACATATTGTTTTAATAATAAATTGAAATCTTTCTTTCTCACCAATGTGTCTCAGTTCTACCCAAAACTATTTATATCATTCTATATCATTATATAGAATAAATTCTATATTTTTTATTCTGACCATATGTTCTTAGTTATTTTATTCATTCCTAATAGGCACACCATTAGGATAATTATTACTTTACAAAAACAGTTGATAAAATATATAATGTTTACAATTGCCCTATTTTTGCGTCTTCATTATCCTCTCTATTCATTTTGAGCTTGCAGTCAACTCTGGTCTTTCTAGGTTTAGACAACCCATTAATTTTTTTTTTTTTTTTTTTTTTTGAGTTGGAGTCTCAGTCTGTCGCCCAGACTGGAGTGCAGTGGCCGCTCCCGGCCACCGCAGCCTCGACCTGCTGGGCTCCGGCGATCCTTCCGCCTCAGCCTTCCCAGTAACCGGAATTACAAGGCATGCGCTACCACGCCCGGTTGATTTTTTTCTTTTCTTTTCTTTTCTTTTTAATTTATTGTAGAGATGAGGTCTCGCTGCCCAGGCGGGTCTCGAACCCGCGGGCTCAGGCAATTCACTCACCTCAGCCTCCCAAAGGCGCGGGATTACAGGCTGAGCCACTGAGCCCGGCTAATTTTTATAGATTTGATCTGGTAAAGCAGAAACACAGCATACACAAAATAAAGATTCCTTGGCATGTTATTTTTAGTGTGCATTTTAAATTTAAAGTGATGGAGAGAAGAAAATACAATACAATGGGTAAGTGAAAGGGCTAATGAGTGGAAGAATTTTGGCTGCAGTGGAGAATTTGTAAACTTGATTCAGTGAAAGTTGAGTGAGTTGTCAAGGATTTGGGTGTTGCACTGCTTTGGCATTTACGATCTCACCATTTCTCCCCAGTCTTAAAACTGCTGTCAACAACTCTGTGTTTCAAATGTTTTACTCTGACTGCTGCTAGATCATTCTCCTGATTATCACCTCTTGATGGTTTTTCATTAGTCCTCAGAGCTTGTATTCAAACAGAAGGCACTGTCACATGATGAAGAATCTTAATTCACATTTAACTCCTACTACTACTGTAGTAGTAGTCAATTATCTTAACTACTACGGTTGCATCCACTGCATTTTTTAATATTTAGGAAAGACATATGCAACATTTAGGTAAGCCATATATATAATTGAAACATATGTAATATTTTAATTTCCAAGCAAAATAATATTATCCTAAAACACAGAGAGAAGCCTCTCCTGCCTTCCTTTTCCTCGCTCCAACTCTCTGCCCAAGAATAGTTGAGTTTAACCCTACCATAGTTCTTAAGGCAATTTTTTGCAATTTTCAAGAACAACACACTAGGTTTTTGAAAAAGAGAGGCAATGTCCTATCACCAGGACATAGTTTGGTGCCTGGTACCATTTGTCGAATAAATAAAAGAATGAAATATTATAATCCATTAACCTTCATAGTTTACACCATGTAATACTGAAATGAATGTACACTTTTTGGTTGAAAAGGAGCAAGATTTTAGTTTTTGGTTTGTTTCTCTCTGCTATAGAAAATAAATCCAGCTGGGCTCGGTGGCTCAGCCTGTAATTCGGCGCCTCTGGGAGGCTGAGGTGAGTGGATTGCCTGAGCCCACAGGTTCGAGACCCGCCTGGGCAGCGAGACCTCATCTCTACAATAAATCAAAAAA